GATACATGAAGTTAGAAACCAACTCCGAACACAAGAAGTGAGGTTTTGCCAAAAAGTGATGAACGGGGAAAAGACGAAAAAAGGGAAAAGGACGAAAAGTGAATAGTGTCAAAAAACGAAAAATACGAAAATGACTCGGTCCTTAAAGGAAGTTATCAATCCTAAGAAAAGAGTCTCAGAAACTATTTCCGAGCACTCAATATGACACTAAGTGATGAGAAACTGAACTCAAAAAGGAAAAGATCAACGGAAAAAAAATATCCGTGAAAACCAGAGAAAAGGAAAAGAAGGAAAATGACCAGGTCATTACACAAACTGTGACCCTTCCTTTGAAACAATCAATCGTAGCATGAAATGAAGCCAACCAATCCATCACGAGAATGACATCAAAGTTAGTCATGTTAAAGAGGATGAGGTCAAACACAAAAGTCCGTCCAGCTATCACAATGGAACATTCCCTCACAACTCTGCTCAAGGACACTGAAACCCCAACTGATGTGTCAACACACAACGCCCAATCCAAGAAACTGACCTCTAACCCCAATGCAAGTGCAAATGATGATAAAATGAAGGAATGAGATGCACCAGAGTTAAACAAAACACGAGCCCAAGAACCAAACACTAGAAATATACCTTGGAGAACTGATGGACCAGAAGATGCATCGGCCTGAACAACTGCATAGACACGCCCCTGTGGTGCCTGTGCCTGTGAACTACCAACCTGAGCACCTGAACTACTGCACTGACATAATAAGAGTATCTCTCCTAACTGGTCGTGAACCCTGCGAAGACATGGCAGGTTGTGGTAGTGGCGGTGTTCTGAAACTTGACTGAGCCGTAGCAGACTGTGATGGCCTCTGCTGTAACCCTCCGCCACCACCGATGCCTGCTCCCCGATTCAGACAGTCCTTGACCCTATGGCCCTGTTGGCCATAACCAAAACAAACCCCAGAAGTAACATATGTCTGTGGACACTCTGCCCTGTAATGACCCAGCTAACAACAGCAATAGCAGACAACACCATTCTTAGCAAAACCTGCTAGCATAAGGGTAGTAGGAATGGATCGTGCTGACTGTTGTCCCTAAAACTGAGACAAACCACCCTTGTTCTTCTTCCATGATGACCCATTTGAAGATGATCCTGCATTTCTCTTTTGCTTCTATTATTCCCTTCCCGCATTTCTATCATTTGTTTCTGCTTCTAACATTAATGCTCTTTCCACTGCCTCCGCATAGACTTTGAAATATTGTGTCGTGATCAATGGCCTCATTTGGTAATGAAGGCCAGAGACAAACTTTCGAGTCTTGTCAGCCTCATTTCTCACTATCTTTGGGGCAAAGCGAGAAAGAGAGGTGAACTTGTTCTCGTATTCCGTCACCAACATATTTCCTTAGATGAGATCATCAAACTGCTTCTTTAACTCCCATCTCTTGGTAACCGGAAAGTACTTCTCATAAAACAACTCCTTGAACATATCCCAATTCATGTCCTCAACCTTGTGTTGGTTAGTGACCGACTTCCACCAAAGCTTGGCGTCCTTAAAAAACTTGTAAGTGACCAAGATAATTCTCAAGTGATCATCCGTCACATCCATCGAGGTCAAGTGGTTTTCTACTTGGTCCATGTAATCATCAGCTTCCATTGGGTCTGCACCACCCTCAAACATCATCTGCATCAACTTTGAAAACCTAGTAACTTGAGACATTTCTGCGTTGCTGTATATATATCCATGCATGTATACACATCAATGCTCAAAGAAAGAAATAAAAGTTAATGGAAAATAATATTGGGACCCACCCAATGCATACATCAAGGTGCAGAAAATAAATAAAATAAATACCGAAAAAATTGGGGGGAAAAAAAAAAAATCTGGGACATTACAAGCAAGAATTAATGTCCTTGAGGGACCGTATGTCAGTAGTGTAGCGAATGCAACTAAAACACACCTGAAGCGTGGTAGACCAGTCGGAGCAAAATATATTGTTTCTCATATGAGGAAAACACAAACAAAAGAGTATATAAAAGTTGGTACTCCTGAAGAGGCCACAAAAAGAGCAAGATAAAATATTGATCGATATGAAATTATAGCCCTTGATGAGGCAGAGGCTCTTGATAAGGCCTAGGTACCTGAAGATGATGAAATAAAAATCCTTGATGAGTCAAATGTAGCCAATGTTGATTATGTGGCCCTTAATGAGGCAAAGGTACCTGAAAATGGTAAGATCTCAATAAATTATGGAAAGAGATGAAAAAGAAATGAAATAGTTATCGACAGCATATTCTCATATGTCATTACTCTTAATATCGATAATGAGGATCTGAAACCTCAAAACGCCGAATAATGTCAATGAAGAAATGATTGGCCAAAATGGAAAGAAGCAATAAAGATAGAGCTAAATTCATTAGCAAAATGTGAAGTATTTGGACCTAATGTCCAAACACCTAAGGATGATTAGTATTTGGACCTAATGTCCAAACACCTGAATGTCAATCATGTTGGTTACAAATGGGTATTTGTACAAAAAAACGTAATGAGAAAAATGAAATTATAAGATACAAATCCCAACTTGTAACTCAAGGTTTCTCACAAAGACCTAATATTGATTATGAGGAGACATACTCTCCTGTAATGAATGCAATCACATTTCGATTCTTAATTAATTTGGTAATCACAGAAAGACTGAATATGTATCTAATGGGCGTGGTTACGTTATATTTATATGGATCACTCGATAGTGATATTTATATTAAAATCCCTGAAGGATTTAAAATGCCAAAAACAAAATCACTTAGTATGTACTTGATAAAATTATAACGATCCTTGTATGGATTGAAACAATCTGGGCACATATAGTACAACCGCCTCAGTAAATACTTATTAAAAGAAGGGTATGTGAATAATTAGAATCAGAATCTAGTTTTGCTATTGTTGCAGTATCTGTGGATGATCTGAATCTTGTGGGAACTCTTAAAGATCTCATAAAGACTGCTACTTACTTAAAGAAAGAATTCGAGATAAAAGATCTAGGAAAGGCAAAATTGTCTCAGACTGCGGCTTGAACATTTATCAAGTGGAATCCCTATCCACCAGTCAACATATATAGAAAGGTTTTGAAGCGTTTTTTATAGATAAAGTCTATCCATTTAGTTTTCCAATAGTTGTCCGATCACTTGATGTTAAGAAAGATCATTTTTGTCCTCTAGAAGATGATGAAGAACTTCTTAGTCCTGAAGTGCCATACTCAATGCAATCGGTGCTCTTATGTATCTTGCAAAGTGCACACAACCTAGCATTGCATTTTCAATCAACTTATTAGCAAGATATAGCTCTGCACCAACCCACATACATTGGAATGGAATCAAGCACATATTGCGTTATCTTCGTGGAATAATTGATACAGATTGTTATCTTCATAGAATAATTGATATGAGATTGTTCTATTCAAAGAAATCAAAATCCCAGTTAATTAGATGCTGGTTATAGTTAATTAGATGCTGGTTATATCTCTAACCCGCACAAAGTTGGATCACAAATAGGGCATGCATTCACTTGTGACAACACTGCTATGCCTTCTTTTGATTAAGCTGAATGGCTATACTATCTCGAATAGGACATCCCAAGATTGGAACTGTAGAGACCCAAAAAATAAATTTATTGCTATTAATTAATTATATTTTAAAATATATATATTTTTATAGTGATTATGTGTGTTTATGAGAATATTGTTTTATAGTGGGTGGCAATAAAATGTAAAGATGGAAAAACATAAAATAAAGTAAAAGAAATAAATAATAATCTCATCTTTGTGGTCAAGCTGATAGTTATGTGTATTAATATTTGTTTTTGATAAGTTTTTTTTATTATTACTTTATAAGTAATATTGCTATATTTATAAGCATTAATTAAATTTTCAATTTTGCATATTTATTTTAACTAAAACCAAGTGAATGGTGCAATAACTTTTCTTTAATTACTATGTGATTTATTATAAAAGGTGATCAACAACATCCCAACAAAGTTTAAATGTGTGTATTATTATTACACACACACTTTGCTTTGATAAGAGTCGTGCCCTGGCCTTTAACAGTTTTTGATACTTTCAAATTATTGATGCATATACTACAATTGTTATACATGTTGGCTTTAAATGATATTGGCATGTCAATGACATTCCTATCCCAAATCCTTCGAATTGAAAGACTCCCTAGATATTGTTATACGTTAAGAGTGACAGACCTGAGCAATATAACTAGGCACCTAGCAAGATTTTGTGAATTTCCTCACTTGTAAGGATTCCATTGTATCAACAATACAAAGAAGGTAAACTAAAAGTCTCAATAGAGCTAGAGAGAGTGTAATTAAATATCACCCTATAATAATAATTACCAAAAAATCAACATATATGTCCAACAAAAGCAAAAATTACATTAAAAAACAGAAAATATTTGCCACCAATATGTCATGCATGCTAACATTTTAAGCTATTCTGCGCCCTTCTCCAAGTCTAATCCGAGCTTGACCACGTCGAAACTGTGATTTTGGAAGTTATAGTAGATGATACTGTTAAAGCCCTTCAGCATTATATAAAGAAGATGCAGTAGAAGCGAGTTGTTTTTCCTCGTTAGAGCTACATTGATGTTGAATACACACAGTCGTCCCAAGCTTTCTTCTTATTGTCTCTGTCCCAAATCACCATAGTGACAGCAAAAAATATAGTGTAAATCTCTTCGTTTGTAAAGAATTTCAATACAGAAATGTTGGTAGTCAGCCAGTGAATTGCACCACCTAAAACAACATGTGAGTCAATTGTCAAGATAGCGCCATTGGATCTTCTAAATCCTTCCAAAGCCAAATTTAGGAATATGACTTTTTGAATGAAGTAACCAGAAATAGCGTCTTTTCTCTTGAGTCCAGGTCGTTCCATTCCTTACAAACCAACTTGCATCGATCCAAAATTTTCAATGAAGTTCGAGATAAGATTTCAAAACACACATCACAAGAAAGATAACAAGACTCCATTGAAGCTAACAATCTCTGCTCATACACAAAGTGATTTGGTTTTGTGACATAAACTATCAGTTTCACAATGAGCTTTATACAATCTAGGATTGTTAATTAGTTGAAACAAAAATAAATAGCATACTTGAACTGGTAATCTTATGTACGAGCAGCACAGAAGCATATCTATCCCAGTCGAGCAGAACTCCGAGTTGTCCTCCTTGTATCTGAATTAAGCAAAGAAGCCTGAGAGGAACCAGATCCAACGGTATCACCCCCATCAACAGTCTTGCCTGTCCTCAACGTCTTTCGCGTGGAGGGTTGAGGAGGTCGCCCGTTCTGAGAGGGTACATTTGGTTCATCCTCTTCCTCTACAACTTCTGTTTTGGACACTGGGATCAGCCACTGAGTGCCACAACCTGGACAAACTCTTTCAACCTGAATCTCGAAGAGTTAGCAAATTAGTTGAGAATTGAGATCATCAAGCTCACTTGTTCATTACAAATATGATAACAGGACTGCTCAAATTAATACCTTTCTTTGAGAATATTTCTTTTGTAGACAGTATTTATGAATTCGAACGGTACATGTTTCATTATGGCATAACTCCGCCTGTCCAAAATAATCATAATAACACATATCACATTCAATGGCACCACCAAACAACCTTCTGGACAGAAAACAACCAAAAGGTTACGGGAAAAAAGTAAAAAATATATATATAAAAAGATAGCAAATCTATCAGTTGAGCAAGAAGATACTTAACAACCATATGGTAGATGCAGAATATCAGATTCTATAATTAATATCGTCTTAGGGTGAAAGGTTGTTATCATATTATACTACTACCAAACTGCATGGTGGATGCACATGTTAACATATTTATATCCACCAAGAGATGCACGCTTCTAGGAGCTCTCTTTCCCCAACATCCGGTTTACACCTTATCAAAAAGTGAAAAAAAAATATAGTACAAGAATTTTTTTAGCAAAGTAACCAGTCTAACCACTTTGGCAAGTAATTACTAAAGGCAATCAGGCTTTGAAAGTTTCTTTACCTCTAATGGTCACAAAATTATAAAAAATATTTTTTAAGCAAATGTATGAAGACAGTATATAAATTCAATAACTCAACTTTTTTAAGGGTAAATGATGGTTAACATGGTATTGAAGGAGACAGGGTTTTGACTTGAAACCTCACTGCAAACATAAAAATTATAATTGATACACATGGTGAACCAAAACCAAGCCACACATGAAGGGACATGTTAGAGAATATAAATATTTAAGTCAAACCATTTTAAGTAGCTTAAATTTTTAGAGTAAATGGTAGCTGACATTCTAGAATATCAAATGCAAGGAAATACTTGCTATTATCTTAAGGTGAATGGTCGCATGATATTCTACTAAACATACAACATGACTGATGCAGCAAATGTTTATTTATAGAATCCTTACATGGACTCATCTAGAATCTCTCCCCGACCAGCAGTATCTCAATCATATGATCTCTATATGATACTAAGAGATGCTACTTTCTGGATCCTCAGGAATCGTTAGAGGACTAGCTCAGTGCATGAAACTCCCGCCACTGCGGAGTCTGGGGAGGGTTAGATATACGCAGCCTTACCACCGCATGCGATAAGACTCTATTCTGTTTCAAACCCGTGATCTCCAAGTCATAATGGAACAACTTTAATCTTACACAAAGGCCCGCCCTCCCTCAAGAAGCATTAGAGGCGATGGAGAAAAAAGTTTCGAGTTAAGGGACGGTTCAGAAATTTCAATTGCATTGGCACATCATTCATGGACGAACTTAAAAATGCGCAAGACATTTACATATAATAGGCAACTGTCATACGGATCAAACAGCATTCATTAGTATGCAAAAGCAATAGCAAAGATAAAGATACCTTTAGTCCAGCCTCATTGCAAACTTCACATGAAGGAACATCATTATTACGGAACCAACTTCGTAGATCGAGGAAGGATCTAACACCAAGTCCGATGTTACCATCTGGGGTGGAACAAAGCCACTGATCCCGCACGAGTTCCTCAAGAGTTTTCTCCTTTTGAGATAAAGAGAAATTTCTGAATGCGGGGGGCACTTGAGATGGACCACCTTGTGATTGTGACCCCGTTCCAGTCAGAGCCTGAAGATTTGACCAAAAGGATTTTCAAGCAAACCCAGTTGGCGTTTATAAAATGAGAAGTGCAAGAACTACACAGTAAGGATATTTCACATCGCTTTATGAAGTGTCTATATATACATTACTTGACATTGATTTTTCATAGATCGTCACCATATACATTTACCAAAGACATTTTTAGCACAAAAAAATTGCATAAATGAAGTATACGATTTCCAGATTTAAAAGTGTTTGTTCAGTCAAAAAAATAATTTCCAGGAAACTTAATGCAAAATCTTTTTCTAAATGCTCCATTTATCACGATGAAAATCTTAAAAATTCAATTTCCACAAATCTTGGTAAAGTTTATTATGTCCCTTCACTTAGTTTAGAGGGAAGTCACTTTACATCTAGAATTTATATTTTTTCTCGGTATACATTTATCCATTAAAACATTTTCTTTTGAAGTACATGAAGATCCTGTTGAAAGTTAATTCAAACTTACATCGCTGTTATCTCTTCTATTAGTATTTGAAATAAATTGTAGAATAAGATAATAGTATTTTGAATGAACTGTTTCTTATCAATTAGATTTCCTTTCTGTCTATTTAAGGAAGCATTGTGTAATCAGAATTCCAGCCATCCGCAGATTAATACAATATCCTTTTTACTTTTACGTAATTCTCTTTTTTCCTTCCTGCATTTTCAATAAAATAGCCAAAAAGGCTAACAGAGAGTATCAGAGCAGTCAACGATCAACCGGGGCTGCACAAAAGCGTAAAAAAAAATATTTAAAAAAAAAAAAAGAAGAAGAAGAAGAAATGTTCAGGTAAAAACAATGTGGCAACAGGTAATAATAATTCTCATCCAAACACCGTTTATTTCTCTTGATTTGTGGGAACTAGTTGAGAATGGTTATGTAGAAAATGATAATGAGGAAGACAGAATTACGGCAGCACAAAGAACAGCAATGAAAGAAAACAAGAAGAAAGATTCTAAGGCTCTGTCCTATATTGAACAAGGCTTGGATGACATTATTTTCCCTCGAATAATGGGAGCTAAAACATCCAAAGAAGCATGGGAATTACTTCAGAATGAGTTCAAAGGATTGAGTCAGGTAATTACTTTAAGGTTGCAGACTCTCCGTTGTGAATTTGAAACTTTGATGATGAAAAATAAGTCAATCAAGCTTATCTCATTAGAGCTGGTTCTATTGTCAATCAAGCAAAGTCTCTTGGTGAATTTTTTAATTTTTAATTTTTTTTTTTATAAGTAAAGATTGTAAAAAAAGTGCTCAAAAGGGGAACACGTCCCTCAAAGGCTACACAAAGCCAAACAGGGCCTCTAAACCCTTAACGAATCCAAAAAGTCAACAATTTCATCCATGGATTTACAATTTCTCCCTTGGACCCAACAAAAAAGGGTGCTAATAAGGGAGAACTTCAACGACCCAATAGAATTCTCCTTTCCTTCGAAGGATCTCCTATTTCTCTCAAGTCAAAGACACCACCAGCCGCACAAAGGCGTAGCCCTCCAGAAATCACGAGCTTGGGACCCCACTATACAATCTCTCCAAGCCTCAACCAAGCCTGTGTTGTCTGTTACTCAGTTGATGGGTGCACTAAAAATGCATGAGGAGAAATTGAACAGGTCTACTGAAAATCAAGTGGAGCAGGCATTCCAATCAAAATTGGAATTTAAAGAGGCTCAAATGGAAAAAAGAAAAACCACGGATTTCAAGGCAAAAGAGGGAATCAATCCAATGGAAAAGGGAGACAATTCATCAAAGGTAATGGTGAAATTCCTATTTGTTATCATTGTACAAAAAAGGGCCATATTGAACAGGATTGTTGGTACAAAAATATGGATCCCAATATCCCTCAACGCTCCATTTGTGAAAAAGATGGACATAAAGGAAAAGAATGTTTGGTACCAATTTTCCTGAAGAAAAAGTTGATGAGAATGTCACTAAAGAACACTTGTTTTTATCTTGCCTTAATGCCACTGCAAAAAAATATGTAGTATCTTGACAGCAATAGTAGTAACCATATGACCGGAGATAATTCTATTTTTATTAAAATTGATGAATATGTGAGATCTCAAATGTGTATGGGGAACGACAAAAAAGTGCAAGTCCAAGGCAAAGAATTAGTTGCAATTGATATCAAATTTGGTAAGAAGTTGATTGATGAGGTTCTGTATGTACCAGGTTTGGCTCAAAATTTCATCAGTTTGGGGCAGCTAATTAAAAAAGGTTATTCAGTCATTTTTTAAGAAGATATATGCATTCTACACAACAAAGAGAATAAGAAATTAAAATTATCTTCAAAAATGTCTGAAAACAAAATGTTACCTCTTGATTTTTCTAAGCTCATGAATGATCACAAGAAGGAAGAAGTGGTTGCACCATGCTCTATAAAAACAACTCCAGAAAAAGCACAAGGAATTCGGAAAGCAAAAAGCAACAAGTGAAAGAGAATCCTGAAATTTCCAACAGAACAAAGCAAAGGGCTCCTACCATTATTGAGAGTGGAGAAAACAATGCTGCCAGAAAATTCAAAGGAAAGAGTAGCCATGATCATGGAAAAATTTGAAGACCGTAAAGGATGTTTCAGTTATCTGACAGTTTGAATTAAGGGGGAGTGTTGGAAGTTTATTCAAACTTAACTTCATTGTTATCTCCTGTTAGTATTTGAAATCAATTGTAGGATAAGATAATAGTATTTTGAATTAATGGATTCTTATCAATTATGTTTCCTTCCTGACTATTTAAGGAAGCATTGTGTAATCAGAATTCAAGTCATCTGCAAATTAATAAAATATCCTTGTTACTTTTACATATATTCTCTTTTCCCTTTCTGTTGTTTCAATACAATAGCTAAAAAGGCTAACAGATACAACAGCCATTTTCGACAATCACATAAACAAAAATCTTATAGTTTCATCCGAACTTGTGTTTTCTGTCATAGTAAGTTCAGAAAGAAAGTGAAATATGTAGCAACAAGTAAGCAGTTGACTATAACCTTGTAAGACATGATATACTAGAAAGAAAAAAATATGCATTCAGAACATGTATACCAAATATTGCTATGATAAGAGCTTTAATTTTTATCAAGATTGTTAACATAAATAAACTTCTTCCTTTACAGAAAGAAATAGGTCAACTGGTCGTTCTAATTTTTCCGCAAAGCAGATATACATAACTCATATATCCTTTAAAAAAGTTGTGAGGTACATCATTACAATACTTCAACCCCAGGAGATCAAAATAGAGCATATTAGGTGTATGGCTGGAAAGATTTTGGATATTATACTGGAAAATCCCTCATTAGTGCAGTTCTTGAGTGGTATTTTCCAGGGAAAAGGCTGCGACTCACCGGCTTCATCAGGTTATGTTTATGGAGATCCTCAATGGTATGTTTATGGAGATCCTCAATGGTATAACTCAACAATCTTGCAACCACAGTGATTGGTTGCCTCATCCAATGCGGGTTCAAGCCATCACAGCAGCCTCTTCATTCAAAACAATGCCAAAGGTTAAGTGCTATCACGTGTCTTCACCTCCCAGCACCTCATGTAGGTAGGACATACACAAGGTGATGCCTTAGTCAAAACAATGGATCCTACATCAAATCCCAATATACGTGAAGATAGAGAATATGGGATGGATTAGTCCATGAGCCCCTTTCATGAATAAGAGCTTCTGCACTCTTCAGATGCTATCATACGCCAAATACTTCTTTTGGAACAACTTTGATTGGCAGATTGTTCTGACCATCACAGTTCTCCACAACTTCGCTCCCATTATTTCTAACATAATACATTTCTAGAAGTTCACCAAATGTGTGCCTGAGCTAGATTGAAACTTCTCATTTATCACTCTGCACAAATATCTTTCAAGTCTGGCCAACTTCATGTGCCCTGTGGAGCCGACATCTAACCAAGTCCATGAACCACGTCTGGCCAACCTTGATATGATTGTGACTTCCAAATCCAAGCCTAAAACTAAATCCGACCGTACAGGTTATTCTGACCTAAGAGATCAGTTATATAAAATTAATCTGATCGACTTGCACCTTAATAGCATCCCATCCATGAAAATAAATAACCAGGTTGTTCAGTATTATTGGCAAAAGAAGAAGCTATTTGCAGTTAAGAAAAAACTTATGGAATTAAATAATATACTCAATGTGAGTCATCAGTACAACAACGCAGAACAGGATTAGCAGGCAATATATTTTTCTGGTCGGAGATTACTTATAGGAAGCATAGTCATTCAAACCTGATTCTCCAATCGTATATTGAGAGCATCTAAATTCAATAAGCTACCCCGAGCAGTCGTATCTTGAACAATGGCTTCTATCTGATAATTCAAATATGACATAAACACTAGAAATCAGAGAAATTCAATTAAGATAATGCAATTCAGAAATGGTTGACAAGGAAACAGCAATCTGCTAGTGAAATAATATCTTATGCATATACAGAAGTTATACAGCACAAAAACATGAGAAGAGATGCATTTGAACGCTTTCTAACACAACCTTACTTATCAAAAATAAAAATAAAATAGAGATACATTTGAACAAGAGAAACTCTAGGTACATCGATAAACTCTGTAATATTATATATCATCATAAATAATTAATAGAATTGCTAAATTTCCGACAATAATACACGAGCACGAAGGTACACTGCAAAGAGAAAATTTACTTTGGGGGGGCGCAATGAGCATGATCCAAAAAAAAAATCCCCCCCTCCCCCCCAAAGCAAGCCAAAAAAAAGAATTTCTGTAATCAAAATTCAAATATTATGTCATTATTATAAAATACATATAGTGAAAATGTTCTAAAATATAAAATATGAACATTAAATTCATAAAGTTGCAAGATAAAATAATAATAATAAGAAGAATAAAGGAAAAGGTTAATGCGCATATACGAGTGCAAGAATAAAAAATTTAAGAAGAGAGAGAGAAAAATAAAAGAAAAATGAAAGAACTTTGAAGAGGAAAATTAGGGTTTTATTGAAGAAAATGAATGCAAATTTTTTTGAAGGGATCAAAGAAACTTGAAAAAGTAAAAGAGAGAAGAAAGAAAGAATTAGAGAGATTTTTAGAAATGGAGAATTTTATAGGGACATTTTGTAAATTTTTAAATTACATATTGTTGGAGAATTACGTGATTTATGTAATTGTTAGATAAATTTGGAAAGTATTAACTGTCTGATTTTGTACTAATTACAGGCTAATATAGCTGGTGTATTAAAGTTTAGGTTGACTTATTTTATTTTCTGATCTTAGGGATTTGATTGTATATTCCTTAATTTACTGGATTCTGATCTGATTGTATTCAGCCTATAAAGGTCAGGCTGCTTTGTATTAGAAAGTAATGAAATATACTCCAGTTTTTCCCAATTTCTGTGTTATGGTATCGGAGCACTAGGTACTCTTTCTGGGATAAAATATTTCATCATTTACAGATTTCATAGCAGCTTGGAGTTCAGTTTTTTACAGAAGAAAAAAGAGATGTCAGAAGTTACACAAACCAGCTCTCAATCGGAGGAACCTACAATCCAACAACAGGTTCCTGGAGATCTACAGAACATTCAAGCTGCGTATAGGCTGAATGGAACGAACTATTTAAAGTGGTCTCAACTTGTTCAAACCTTTCTGAAAGGGAAGGGCAAGCTCAACCATCTTCTTGGAAAAGGGCCTAAGAAAGAAGATCCAAAGTTTGCTACTTGGGACGAAGAAGACTCAATGGTCATGTCATGGCTATGGAATGCTATGGTACCCGAGATAAGTGATACTGTCATGTTTTTGACAACCGCTCAAGAGATATGGGAGGCGATCAGACAAACTTATTCGAAGAAAAATGATGCAGCCCAGGTTTACGAGATCAAGGTGAAGCTAGCTGCCACAAACAAGGGAACAAGACTGTAACAGAGTATGCCAACACTCTGAAAAATTTGTGGTACGAGTTGGACTATTACCAGGTTCTCGAGATGAAGAACAGTGAGGATGCTGCGTTGTTGAAGGCTTTCATAGAAAAAGACCGAATCTATGATTTCTTAGCAGGCCTTAATCCGGAATTCAATACTGTAAGAGTTCAGACTTTGGGAAAAGGATTATCCTCCCTAAATGAAGCAATTGCAACTATTCGTGCTGAAGAGAGCAGGAGAGGAGTTATGTTGGATTCGCAGCCATTGGAAGGATCGGCACTCCTTACAACCGCTGCTAGTGAGCGAACTTTGGAGAAGAAGTCTTCAGCTATTACTGATTATAAGAAATCTGACCCGAAGAGGACATTCAAAGAGAATCTGGTATGTAACTATTGCAAGAAAACTGGTCATACGAAGGACACCTGCTATAAGCTACATGGAAGGCCACAAAACATGAATCAGTCAAACTGGAATTCCGAAGGAAGAAGCTGGCAGCAAAAGGGAAAAGCCCACGTTGCACAAAATAGCACTAATAATACCAGTGATCAACCGAATTCCAGCAGCAGAGAATTCTGTAAGGAAGACATTGATCGCCTCCGATCCCTTCTTAATTCACTCGAAGAACCTACAGGTGCCTGTTCATTAGCACTTTCTGGTATGTATTCTGGTTCTCATGCTCTTAGTGTCTCAGATAATGTTTTAATCCACCCACACTCTTGGATTGTCAACTCAGGCGCAACCGACCATATGACCAACTCATCCCAATCTTTTTCTTCTTATAAACCATGCCCAAGTAATAAAAAGATCACCATAGCTGATGGGAATTTAGTCACTGTTGCAGGACAGGGGGACATATCCTTAGGACCTTCCCTGTGTCTTAAAAATGTTTTACATGTGCCCAAATTGACAACCAATCTTTTATCTGTCAAACAAATCACCAAGGATATGAACTGCAATCTTATTTTCTCAAAAAATTCATGTGTGTTTCGGGACCGAGCTTCGGGGAAGACGATTGGGCATGCTAAAGAAAAGGATGGTCTCTACTGTCTCAAGCCCATGAGTGGAAAAGTGAGTACTGGAATTGGTTGTTCATCTATGCTTCTGTTTGATTCCTTCACAAATAAAGACAAAATTCTCCTTCATCATTTTCAGCTTGGTCATCCTTCCTTCAGAACTTTTAGTCTTATGTTTCCTTCTTTGTTTAAAAATGTTGATTTGAAACAACTTCATTGTGATATTTGTGAAATTGCCAAACACAAACGTGTTTCCTTTCCTTTGAACAATAATAAATCATCAGTTCCTTTTTATTTGATGCACAATGATGTTTGGGGTCCTTCACGGGTTGCTAATTATTCTGGGGCACGTTGGTTTGTCATTTTTATAGATGATTATACGCAGGTAACTTGGACTTTTCTCATGAAGCAAAAATCTGATGTAGCCAATATCTTTCCAATATTTCATAACATGATAAAAACACAGTTTGGGGTGAAAATTAAAAGGGTGAGGACAGACAACGGGAGAGAATATTTTAACCAAATTCTTTCACCATATTTGAATCAGGAGGGAATAGTTCATGAGTCCTCATGCATTGACACACCCCAACAAAATGGGGTGGCCGAAAGAAAGAATGGACATCTTCTTGAAACTACCCGTGCTCTTCTTTTTCAAAGACAAGTTCCAAAATATTTTTGGGGGGCAGCCGTTCTTACAGCCACTCATCTCATCAACCAATTACCTACCAAAGTCTTAGATTTTAGAAGTCCTTGGGAAACACTTTCACATCATTTTCCAGACTTCCTTACTCCAAACAGGTTGTCTCCTCGGATATTTGGTTGTGTTATCTTTACTCATGTTCATGCTCACAATCGAAGCAAACTTGATCCCCGAGCACTTAAATGTATTTTTATAGGTTACTCTTCAACTCAAAAAGGTTACAAATGTTACCATCCGCCTACTCGGAAAACCTACATTTCAATTGATGTCACATTTGTTGAACATGAGAGTTTCTTTCATCATCCTTCTCCCCAGGGGGAGGTAACAAGTGATGAAAAGGATGATGATGCCAATGTCCTCAATTTCGATCTTATGCCCAAATTGTCACCACCATCTTTGAGTCCAAGTTCTGCAACCACTCCTGCCTCGGTTTCCTTTGGTTCCCCTCTTACCGCGGCTTCTCCAAGTCCGGATCACATTCATTCCCAGGTTTCACTACCTACTTCCGATCCCAGTGATATTCCTCCACTTCAAAATCCAAGTGTGACATCTCTTGAATCTCAACCACAATCTCCTCCTAAAAATCCAACTCCATCAATCAATCCAGTAGTCACTAAACCACTTCAAGTTTTTTTGAGAAGGAAGGGAGGCAAGACTAATCCGAAGCAAGCCCAAAATTCAGAACCTATGCTTAGGAAAGAAACCACTCAGGAGAAAAACACTACTCAGGTAAACAATTCCACTCTTGTGTTTGATGAGACTGATTTAGAACTACCCATTGCAGTTCGAAAAGGTACCCGAAGGTGTACACAACATCCACTCTCTCATTTTGTTTCCTTTGAAAAATTATCTCCCTCACATAGAGCCTTCCTTACTCAGCTAAACTCAATAGCCGTTCCTAAAACATTGTCTGAGGCATTAAACAGCAGGGAATGGAAGCAGGCCATGAAAGTTAAGATGAACGCACTGGAAAAGAACAAGACTTGGGAGATGGTCGAATTACCGAAGGGAAAAAAAACTGTGGGATGCAAATGGGTGTTTTCAGTAAAATTCAATGCAGATGGATCTCTTGAAAGGTACACGGCGAGGCTAGTAGCAAAAGGATATACCCAGACCTTTGGTGCTGATTATCAAGAAACTTTTACCCCAGTGGCAAAAATGAACACAATAAGAATTTTATTGTCTCTGGCTGCTAACTTTGATTGGACTTTGCAGCAGTTTGATGTAAAAAATGCATTTCTGCATGGAGATCTTGAAGAAGAAATATATATGGACGCTCCCCCAGGATTTAGTTTTCCGAAGAAGAATAGGGTATGCAGACTAAGGAAGGCATTGTACGGATTGAAGCAATCCCCCAGGGCTTGGTTTGGCAGGTTTGCAAGAGCAATGTTAGCAATGGGTTACAAACAAAGTCAAGGTGATCATACTTTGTTCATAAAACACTCTTCTTCAGGGGGAGTTACAGTCCTCATTGTATACGTAGATGATATTATTGTCACTGGCAATGATCAAGCTGAAAGGGAAACTCTTAAAGCTAAACTGGCCAGGGAATTTGAAATAAAAGACCTAAGCAAGCTGAAATACTTCCTGGGAATTGAAGTTGCTCGCTCCAAAGAAGGAATTTTCGTCTCACAACAAAAGTATGTTATTGATTTACTGAAAGAAACAGGAAAGATAGGCTGTAAGCCCGTGAAGACTCCCATTGAA